ATTATTATTACTATTATTATTATTATTATTATTAATTATTATTATTATTATTATTGTCGTTGTTGTTGTTGTTGTTGTTGCTGTTGTTGCTGTTGTTGCTACTATTACTACTACTACTACTACCACTACTATTATCACTATTGCTAAAGTTGCTGTTGTTTGTTATAGTTCTTTTTCGTATTCATGATTTTGTTATTGTTGTTACTCGATTCGAGCTCTATTATCAATCAAATTATATTAATTTCAATTATATTTTTAAGTGTAATAAAGACTTTTCCATATTTGAAGAGCACTTGTCAATCAAGTTTGTTTATACATTTATGTTTTGTATTATATATATATTCTAATATATATTTCTATATATATATATACTTATATATTTATATATATACGTATATATATAATATATATATATATATATATATATATTTGTCTTTTTCTTTTTTTTCTTTTCCCATGTTATTGAATATCTATTTGTTTGTTTTGTTAACCTTGCATAATTTATTTTTATTAAACAAATATTGATGTATACAATGAGGGGGGGAAACGAGGAAAATAAGAAAAAGATAGAATTGAGAACCGGATTTTGATTGCTATCATAAGTTATGTGTAGTTTTGAATAACTAAAATTGTTAAGGAGGTAATAAAAGGTAAAAAGTAAACGAAGAGGGAGGAGAGAGAGAGAGAGAGAGAGATGATAATGGGATGACAAGAAGAATGGAAAGAGATGGGAAGGTGAAAAAAAAGTTGATGATAGACTATAGCTTATAGATAGATATTAATCAAAATTAGTCCTTGATATGTTGTTTTCTTTACAATTTCAAATATATTATTCGCGTGACATTACAGAATGGTAAATATTAACTAACAATCACTTTGATTGATTCAGGTTAATGTATTCAAAAAGAGTAATTGTTAATAAACAGAAAAAAAAGGAATTTTTTTTTTTTTTTAGTGATGTATTTCAATGTTAACATCAATTTGTTATCAACTCAAGAATATAAAAGAAAAAAGTGGTAATTAAAATTAGTGATTAAACTGGGTGATAAAAGGACGAAAATTTGATAATGATATAAATAGCAAAGAAAGATAAGGAAAAATTGAAGAATCTTATAAGGAAAATATTTTAGATTGAGGAATCTTGTAAGGAAAATATTTTATAAAAATAAATATCAAATCTTTTAAGAGCTTTAAAAATTAGTCTTTTAAAAAATTCTGGAAGAAATTAGTTTTAAAAAATTTTGAAAAAAAAACACAAAAGTGGAAAGTTTGTTTGAATATAAATTTATATATTCAATTATTGCATTCCTACAGTATGCCTAACAATTAATGCAAAATGCTATCAATGATAAAAATCATAATTTCGATAGAAATCAACAATAATGATAATATTTTGGACATAATCAATAAAAATTTTCTATTTTTATAAATATAGTGAAATTTTTTTTTTCTTTTTTGCAAATGCATACTATCCAAAATAGTAGTAGATCTTAATTACTGTAACTAATTAATTACACTAATTTAATGTCATCTT